AATTTCAGGAGGAACAGATGAGGAAGGACCCAGCGCTCACAAAAATGGAAAGATTGAAATGAAATTTCGGCATCTCAGCGATACAGTACCCCTCGTTTTCAGAGAGGAGGGAGATCTAATTTTTGGTTGCTTATCCAAAAACGAATTAAAATATCTCAGCAAGTTAGCATTTTTCTTTTACTTTATATATATATATATATATATTATCACGCTGCAGATATTCCCTGAGATCGAAAAATCATATCCGCCAAATTTTGTGATTTCAGTAATTGTAGGAGATAAAGGATACTGAAATGAGTTAACAAGTTATAATGAATTAATTGGTAATAGCAATGGATTATTTTTTCATATCATTTCGTAGGGAGATCCCGGAGATGTCTGAATATGCAAACTACGAGTTAAACCGTCGATATAGAATACTGCATTACCGGGATGGTAAAATAGCCCCGCCATATTTAAAAAAAGCTTTGGAACTCGTATCTCGGATGACCGATTTTAAGGCATGTTTCATTCTTTGTTCCTGTCAAGAATTATACTTTATTAAAAATCAGAAAGAACTTTAAGAGACGAAAATTTGATGACGAAATGATGCAAATTCAAACTTTAGCACAGCGTATCCTTCACAGAACATAATTGGAGACCATTTGAAGCGATTTTGTTTGGTGGAAAAAAACCGATCAATATGATTTCCACGGATTGCGGTTGTTCAGTGCTGATATTCACGTCTCAGCAAGATCATCTAAAAATACGCAAGGAATTTGCACATAGTTGGAAAATTTTAATGAATTTTTGCTTCATATACCTTACTGTAATTAATTAAAGAATGACATTAAACTACTATTAAATAAACAAATAGCTCTAAATATGTGATTTCAGCATGTAAACCATTCCCCGATGAAATAGAAGGAAGTCCAGTAAACGGAGTAATTTTCCCATACGGTTTGTGTACAAATGCAAACAAGAACAGTGGTTTTTGGGATACGTACATTAGGTTGGTCTTCTTTTATATTGATAGAAGGAAACTGTAATCATTGTCAAATTATGTCGAAGTGATCCAGTGTTGAGATTTAATCGTTTTTGGTACAAATATAGCCGTCATTTCCATTCTAAACTTTGCGCCGACTAAATGTGATAGTCGAATGGTCATAAAATATTTGAATAGTAATGATAATGAAGTGATACTTGGGTGATAATAAAATCTCTCTTTGTCTAAATATACTAAGAATTGTAAGCAGAAAGCATAATAGTGCAAACAATTTAATTAGGGAATGCAATTAGGATTAGATTTGAACCAATATATCAAGAATGTAATTGATTCTGCCCCAAAAGATCAACGCAGAACTCTACCGAATATTTAATATTCAATGGGTATATTGTTCATTGTCATGTTTACCTTTAACTGCAACAGTTTTTTCAGTGATTGGGTAGGAGATGAAAAGACATATGTCAGTCGCCTGAAATACCATAAAGTTAGTTAATTAAAGCTTAATGCATCAGTATGTAACATCCCCAAGTATTATGTTTATTAGCGAAGTGAATTCTGCATAGGATTTCATTTCTAGAGCTTATTAGAAGTATGACCTTCGAAACCTGATAAAATAATCATGAATCTTAGGATCCAGCGAAGTTGGTCATTGTGATTAGTAACGATTTCAAATATACTCATGAATGCGATAAAAGCGAGGCACTAAATGTAACCAAAATAATTCGAAAGGAAGTTAACGTGCCAATTTGCGTTGTTGCTCAACCCGATAATCGAAAGAGGGCTAAGTCAGATTTGATTGTTTCTTGGCTAACAGATCAACTTAGAATGGAGTGACACCGAAAGGAGTTGATTACGATAATATTCATCCACAGAATGTGTTTGATAAGACCAACATCAATTCCGGTGTTGAATAAGAATATCTTTCTTAGGGTTTCCGAAATAGGACGAATGCTATGATAATTATGGACAGATTTAGAATATTTTAATATTGAAAACAAATGTCTCAGTTTCAGTACTTTTCTGGGGGATGGCAGAGTGTTAATATTCTACGGCTCTGATATAAACGCATCAACCCTTGTCGTAAATAAAAATAACAGCGAAATATTGAAAATAAAGTTTGAGGACTGGAAGGTTTGACTTGTTTATTCGCTTTAATTGTTTTTTAACTTACTTCAGCTTATTCGTAATCGTTAATGTAATGAAGTCATTTTCTCATTAAAAGCTTGCTAATTCTTCATACTTTTGAGGTTTGACTGCGTTTTTAACGTGACTTCAAGTTTTGTCGATATTTATCGAAAATATGCTCCTTATAACTTTGCTAATTGTATTATCCTTTTTCTGCAGAAGGAATTGCTCTTCCTTAACAGTCATCAAGTGATAGCCTTTCATTTTACTGTGGTCAATGGCACTGAGCCAGAAGATAGCGAAGAGATATTCAGGTAGGGTATTTAGAATATTCAACGAAACATTTATGATCAGTTTCCAGAATCACATATTGGTGTATTGCGAGAATGTCACAGCAAAAGTGGACAGGATAAACGATTCGGCTAGCCTTGTCTTTTCTCTGATCTGATTAGACTATAGATATCATTTTCTCTTTACAGTAACACATTCCCAGACATTCCGTTGAGTACATTACGCCTACTTGATGAATCATCGATGACTGGAGTTGACTATCAAGTTGAAACGCAATTTCGTTTCCATGACGGTCCTGTATATGCAATTGTTGGTTTTCGGAAATTTGGTGAAGAAAATCCAGCTACGGAAGATGACTTTTATTAGTGATTCACTGTTTCGTAGGCACAGTTCGGATGAATTTCGATAAGTGATTCAGTTATTTTGTCAGCAGTTAGAACTATAAAGATGTGATAAATATTTAATGATATATAAAAACGGATGATTCATTTGAATCGATCACTAAAGTTGATTATCAAGTTGAAACGGAATTTCGTTTATATGTCGGTCCTGTATACGCAATTGTTGGTTTTGGGAAATTTGGTGGAGAAAATCCAGTTGCGGAAAATCTTTCCGAGAAAAATAATTGATTTTTATTGTTGATTGACCGTTTCATAAACACAATTCAGATGAGTGAGTGTATATTCATTCGATAAGTGATTCTATTGTTTTATGAGCAGTTAGAGCCATACAGACATTGTTATGAAGATGTGATAAATATTTGATAATATATAAAAACTGATTCATTAGAATTGCCGAATATCATGCAAAATATGCAAATTAATTGCCAATTTCTGTGCTTTGGAAACACAGCCACAATAAGAGTTTTGATTAATGAGGCTAGCGAAAAGATTAAGCTTACAACAAGCAATATTCGAAAAACGACATTTTACGAATGGTATCCAAAGATTTGATGAACCAGCATCAAAAACAACACTGAAATTCTGGGCTGGTGTACCAATCGAAATTTGACCATAATACTGAGCCTGACAAATTAATCTCATTTCAAATCAACATTGATGAATATTAATTAGTAAATTGCTAACTTCTTGGAATGTTTAAATTTATTTATTTGGATATAATTGAAACAGCAAGTTAAATTATTAATTTCCATAATATGCTTTTAGAAATTTTCAAACTTGAATTAACGTTTGAATTTTTTTGATAACAACTAGTGATATAATCAATAAATTTAAAATTGCACTTTTTTGAAAAAAATTCATTAAAAAAAGAAAAGAATAAATCAAATTTACACGAAAACACCATATTAATATCACTTACATCCATATAGTTCTTTAGTATTTCATCAGTTTCGCTTATCGTTCTTGGCCTTGAAGCTAAACCGAAATCTAATCCGATTTTACGTTGAGTTTTTTTCCGTTGAATTTGAAAATTGAGCAGTTTATTGTATGATTCCAATGAACCTGTTTTTATAAGATCTGCACGAAGTGAATTCTGTTTATGTAATGCAATCCTGAAATACATCTCGACACAGCATTAATTAACGTTTCATGAACAATTTCTGTGATCGAAAGAAATACAAGCAGTAACAAGCTATTCGACATAACTGATAAGAGATGACGTTATTGCTACATTATGAAGAATTCCTTCGCTTTGCTATCTTTATATCTGAATTTTCCATATTAATTGATTTTGTTAAAAAAAAAAAACAATAGAA